TTCTGGAAGTGGATAGCTGAGTATAGGAGCGCTTGTTAAAGCTTCTTTCAAGTGGGTAAAAGCTTGTTGGCAATCCTGATCCCATTGTAATTTGCGTTTCCCTTCTATCAGCCTGGTCAATGGCTTTGTGATGTTAGCAAATCCTTCCACGTAACGTCGGTAATATGTACACAATCCTAGGAAGCTGCGTAGCTCATGTTTGTCCTTCGCAACTGGCCATTCTTTTACAGTCAGGATTTTCTCTTTGAAACAGGTGACATTTCTTTGAGCTTAATTTCAAGCCAGAACCTCGTAGCCTTAAGAAAACTTCCTCTAGGTTCTTCATGTGGTCCCCAAATGATTTTCCCATCACGATAATGTCATCAAGGTAAACCAGGCACGTTTTCCAGGATAATCGTGTACATCAGCCTTTCAAAGGTGGCAGGAGCATTGCACAGGCCTATTGGCATCACATTAAACTGCCACGATCCGGTGCCTACCGTGAATGCTGTCTTCTCCCGATCTTCAAGGGCCAATCCTACTTGCCGGTCTCAGCTTTTTAGATCTAGGGTGAAAACATTTTTGATCCAGCCAGGGTATCCAGAGTGTCATCAATATGCGGTAGAGGGTAGCTGTCCTACTTGGTCACGTTGTTCAACATTCCGCAGTCCACACAAAATCTGGTTGAACCAACTTTCTTTTCAACCAAAACTATCGGTAAGGCCCATGGACTGTTGGACGGTTCAATGATTCCCTCGTTGGCCATACTGTCTACGATCTTGTCAACCTCCTCTCTTTTAGCAAGTGGGAGCCTTCTTGCCATCTGCATATTGGTTCTCTCTTTCTGTCCAGTATCGAATATCTATGTATTAGATGTTTCAGTTTCTTTTTTTGGTCTGGTCTTAGACCTCTGCCTGATGACGATATTAGTTCATCCAGTTCCTTAGGAATTACCCCTGAGTTTTCCACAGCTGGCATATTTTGAATGATTGCAGAAACTGGATAGCAGTGTGCCAGCTCCGAGCCCTTCTTCAATAACACAGGGTAATGACTGACATTCATTAATCTAACAGGAATAGTTTTATCGGCACGCACAAGGGTCTTTGCAACTGCTATCCCTCGGCCAATAGACTCGTCATGCATCCTTGGTTCAAACATGATTATTTATCCGTCTGTAGTCTGGCCCTCTACTGAGTCATTCAATACAACTTCGCTTCGTTCTGGGATCACGGTGTCTTCAGGCAATAGAACTCGTACGTTTCCATTCCTTTCCCGCTGTAGAATGACCTCCACATTGTTGACTCTCAAGATTCTTTGCTTAAAGTTCAACTCGAAGCCCTTTGTGTTCATGATGTCCATTCCGATGATTACCTCGTCCTCAATATCAGCTACTGTCACCGGATGTTCGAATGTAACTTTTCCTATTCTAAATGCGATGTTTACTTCACCGTACACGTCTGCTCGGTCTCTCGTCGCCGTTCGTATTCGCCATTTGGATGGTCGAATCTTCGCCGATGCTTTCACCATGTCGGGCCTTATGATAGTCTTTGTCGCACCTGTGTACGGGATTATCGGGATGACGAGTAACGTCGTGGACTGTATTTTTCTTAACATAACTGGATTCGAACAACTAAATAACAATACTTTTCTGGAGGTTAAAACTTGACGTTAGTTTCAGACCTTTTTGCGATGTTGCCGGTTGTCACCTAGTGCAAAAAATGTGTGCACGGAGTTGCACGGAACAACCTGTATCCAGCAGTATGGTGTGGAGAGGCCCATCCACAAAATCATCGACAAAAACACTATTAGACCGATGTTTAAGCGAGGAGACTTGGACGGTAATAACTGATGGAGCTTGTTGGCTACACGATAGCCTCTTCCCATCGACCTCCCTTAGTTTTCCGGATTGGCCGTAAGTAGAGGATAGGTTACCTAAATAGGCGCTAGGAGACGCCGTCCTGAAGGTGCTAGTTTTCATACGGCAGTAGAGGATAGGTTACCTAGCACGCCCCCCACCACTTCCACTTTGGCCACGCCCACCGCGTGCTCTGTAAAGTTCGTGCGTGAAGTGATTGTAAATAATTTCTGGTAAGTTTTAATTTTTAACAGTGATACAATATTGAAAACATAGTACAGTCTATATTGTGTATCTGATAAATTCCAATAAGGCAATCACCTACGTCGCAAATGAGGTTAGGTAGATAGTCGTTCAGCACAGGTGTTGTCGTAGCGGTGATATGCAAGAAGTACCGGGCTGTCAAGCATGGGTGATGCGGGGAGCGCAGGCTGTTAACGAGTTAATACCGACCAACGAGAACAGCGGTGACCTTGGAACACTGCGGTCAGTTAAAAATTGTTGTTATCTGCAGCGAACAGATGTGCTCAGTTCAGACTTAGTCGCTAGTTAAAGTTTTAGTTTTTTAAAAAAATAGAAAATTTTACATCGTTAAGGATTCTACTAAGAAGATTAAAAAAATTAATCTATATGGGCGAGAAGTGGAATTTAAAATACGACCTATCCTTAAAGACGTCGAACCTGTAGGATGGATCAAAGACGCTCTGGAGGAAATAGTAGCTAAAGGAACTGAACATCTTCACCCCAGTGATCAAGTTGGATTCATTTTCTGTTAAAAAGACTTTGCCCGCGGTCAAGGATGGATAGCTATTAAATCATTTTCCGACGTCTCAACTGACGACATATGGGAGAAGATATCTTCCATCTATCAGTCAAATTCTGCGGGGATGAATACCGAGACTTTTTGCCTGGGGGTTACGTCCGTAAGGATGCCTGCTGGTCGTGGTAGAGGTCAAAATTACAATACTTTTGATGAGGAATGCGCCAAAAGAAAAGGCATTATCACCGTTACAAACACCGATAATTTGTGTCTCCCACGAGCCCTTGTCATTGCGATGGCTCGCTTGAACAAAGACAAGGAATATGAGAATCCTTCTCGATCGAGGAAAAATACAGGGGCAAAGAGCTGCACAACTTGTGGAAAAGGCTGATATTGTTATCCCTGAGGAGGGCTGTGGAATACCTGAACTTCAAAAGCTACAACAATATCTGCAAAACTACAAAATTGTTGTATACAAGTTTGGATGCAAATGTCGTGACTTCATTTTTGAAGGCGTGTCCACTGGTCCGACGCTTAACCTAATCTATCACGTACGACACTACAACGTCATAACATCCCTCACTGCTGCCTTTTGCTGCACCTATTTTTGTGAGAACTGCCACATTCCGTATAATACTAAAAAAGATCGTAGATGTGATAGACAATGTTATGCTTGTAAAAGATCCCCGGCCTGCCTGAAAACGGAACACATCGAATGCAAGGAATGTAATAGAAGCTTTTATGGACAAGAATGTTTTAACGCTCATTTACCATCGATCTGTTCTAAAATTAAAAGATGTTAGACTGTTTTAAAGTTCACAACGGTAATGATCACATCTGCGGACATATACTTTGTAAAACATGTCATAAAAATCAGCCAATTGGACAACATATGTGCTATATACAGCCCGACGAAAGTATTCCTAAATCAGATGATGTTTTATTAATATTTTACGATTTGGAAACCCGTCAGGAGAAGGAATTACCCAATGGATCTTTACTTCATGAGCCAAATCTATGTGTACTCAAACAATGTTGTGAATCATGTACCGATAATCCTATATGCAAGAAATGTGGCCTTCGATTACAGATTCTTCGATGTCAAGACGTCGTTTCTCCGTTTATGCATCATATTCTGACACTTCGCAAAAGATTCAAGAAAGTCATTGTACTGGCGCATAATGGCGGAGGATTTGATCACCAGTTTCTACTTCGTTACATTTTAGAGAAGACTAGTCTATACCCAAATGTAATTATGAGAGGAAAACAATTAATATTGATGGAGGTAGGAAATGTAAAATTTCTGGATTCTCTCAATTATTTTCCTATGCCTCTAACTGCTCTACCCAAGGCGTTTGATTTGAAATTGCTAAAGAAAGGATACTTTCCACATTTATTCAACACTTTGGCTCATCAGAATTATGTAGGGCCAATTCCAGCGCTCGAATTCTACGACCCCGACCATTTAAAGGAAGACGCTCGGGAAAAATTATTAAAATGGCATGGCGAAAGACAAGCGGAGGGATACGTTTTTGATTTTCAGAAAGAAATCGTTGAATACTGTATCTCCGACGTGGAAATATTGACACAGGCGTGTCTCAAATTTCGAGACCTGATGAAAACCGAAACCACAGTCGATCCCTTCCAGGAACGCACCACTATTGCATCATGCTGTAACAAAGTCTTTAGACGCAATTTTTTAAAACCTGAGACGATCGGGGTAATTCCAAAAGGTGGCTATAGATGGCGTGAAAATCAGTCAGAAATTGCCATTCAATGGATGTTGTGGGAGGAACATCAAAGAGGAATCAAGATTCAACACGCCGCTAGGGGTATAGAAACCATTGTTAAGGGACCTAAAGTAAACGGTTTTTGTAGCGACACAAATCAAGTGTTTGAATTCCAAGGATGCTATTTTCACGGTTGCCCTCGATGTTTCAAATACAACAGAACCAATCCTCTGCATAATGATCCGTTGAATACATTGGAAAGTCGATACGAACAATCAGTTAGCAAAATAGAGAGACTCCGAAGCCTTGGACTAGAAGTAATTGAGATATGGGAATATCAATTTCGAGGGATGCTAAACTATGAAATTAGAGCGTTCACAGAAGCACATCCACTGATAATCAATTTACTGATTAACCCCAGAGACGCTCTCTACGGGGGACGTACAGAAAATATCGTTGAATACTACAAGATCAAAACAAATGAATGCATAAAGTATGTCGATATATGTTCCCTCTACCCCTTCATCTGTAAATATGGAAAATTTCCGGTGGGTCATCAAAAAAAAATTACGTAGGTGAAGAATGTATTACAGCCTCTCTGTCGCAGATGTCAGGACTTATTAAATGCCAGATTCTACCGAACCAGAACTTATATCACCTCGTTTTACCGTCAAAAATGAACAACAAATTGATGTTTGTTAACTGCCAAAAATGTGGTGAAGATTTCATTCGAGAAGAGTGTCAGCATTCTATTCAAGAAAGAAGCATAAAAGGAACTTGGGTGATAGAAGAGGTGCTCAAAGCTATTGAAAAAGGTTACCAGATTATAGAGACTTGCGAAATATGGGAATACGACACAATTCAGCTCAGTAAAGACCAAGAGGGGTTATTTGGCGGAATGATGAACAAGTTTCTACAAATAAAACAACAAGCTTCAGGATGGCCTAAACATTGCTTAACGGATGAAGAAAAAAACCGTTATATTTTTGGATAGAGAGGACATAAAGCTGGAAGAGAAATTACAGAGAACCCCTGTTTGAGATCGTTAGCTAAACTTATGCTGAATTCTTTTTGGGGTAAATTTGGTCAAAAGAAAACCAAAACAAAACCTCAATAGTCAGAGACTGTGATGAATTCTTTGATATGCTGACTAATCCTTCTATTCATGTGCATGTAAAAAGTTAGACTATGGAGCTAGCAAAAAAAAAATAAAATGCAACAAAGTAGAGTCACTTAATATTCTTGTTGAAATTACGGATAGAATATGGTAGAAAGTAACAGATATTGTAGAAGCCATGTAATTGTGTAATTGTTAATGAAAAAGTATTTTTCATACGCTGACCATGTTTTGTGTCAGCTTCGTACGCGACCAGATTTTTTCCAATCCTTCGCCCGTCGGGTTCTTGAGCCGACGACTAAATGTGTCGTCGAAGGGACATTTTTGGCCAAATTCGGTCGAAACCGATGCTGCGTTTGTACCCTAGAGTAATTTTAATTGATTTGCAAAGATCTTGCTAGAATACTTGAGCTAGTGATTATAGGCAATTTATCGGTGACGAGCTTTTCTCTAGCATATCTTGATTTATACAAGCGAATCAATGAGAAACTAGTGAATAAAATTACCTGACAGCCATAGTACAAGTCGGTATATCTACACCTTCTTCTCTTACATTTAGCGCCACTAACATGTTAATCTCCTTGTTTCTAAAACGATCAAGTACTTGTCTGTTCTTCTTATTAATCAGAAGTGATTCTACGGTGCTATTAAAAGAGTTTCCGTTATATCCTACAACGAAATCCGGCTTTATATGTCTGAACTCTGGTACATGTTGTACATGGTGCAATATTTTTGGCAGTTGATCTTTCCTTCGTGAATATTAAACCTCAAATTTCCTCGTTTGAAGATGAACTGTTGAAAAGTGTCACGTTTATATTAGTATTAATATTTATGATAAATTGGCCCCTAGAGATAAATTAAAGTTTCGAATGGATATGCAGAACTATTTATTTGAAATTCTATATCCTACAAATCAGCAGACGCAGGTCCGTTCAGTACCTCCTGCCACCCAAGTGGAACACGCCTCATATACTCAAGCTCCTGCCACCCAGTTAGAACATGCCCCATATACTCAACCTGGTCTTTCTCGGCATGAACCACTTTGGAGTAAGCAGCCTTTTCTGCCGTATGAATTTCCCTCATCCATATCACAAAATCAGAATTCAGCGGATTTAGACGCTTTAAACAACTATACACGTTTAAACTAAACTAAGTTACAATAATTAAAAACGTAAATTAAAATTACAAATGTAAATTATAATTAAAAATGTAGTTTCACTTACCTTATTGTCACTACCAGTTTTTCTTCAGCTAAAATCGGGTTCGTATGATAGTTATTATGATTGGAACGTTCAATTTTCATTTTTATGTTGTCATATATATACTGGAAGGTATCTAAACTCATTCTCATATAGGCATGGAATCTGTCAGGATGATTCCGAAGCTCTTTAAACAAGTCATGGTATTCCCTCAGATATTGCCTTTTTTGGTTTATAGGATGAGTACTAAACCTGCGACTTGATGAATTACATATAATCCACCACTTTGCACCTGCAGACATACAATCACTATCGTCACTACTGTTGCTTCTATTCATTCTTAAGTATTCAATAGTAAGACTTAGCGAAATTTTTCCGAATTACGTCGGTCTCCTCTGACACCTCAAAGAATACTGAACGCCGAAAGCTTTGACTGAAAGGAAAGCATCTTCGACATGTTTTGCCAGTCATCGATGTGAACCTCGACCGCGACCGCGACCTCCACCGCGCTCATCCATGCATCTTCGGTGTGTCCGTACCCTTACGAAGCCGCTCTTGCAATTCCGCTTTCTTTCCGGCCGTGTCGCACTCTCTTTCCACCAGCTCTCTTTTTAATTCGGCAATTTTCAAATCAACTAATCGCGCAATTCTTCCTTCACTGATCGTCCGATTTATTTTCACTAAATGTCCAATCATCCACATCCCACTTCCGATACCTAGGTAGCGTTTTTCTGGGTTCTTTTGGGTGTGGATTAAAACACTGGATTCCACAAAAAGAGATGCACTAATTTATTTAACTTGACTAGATAGAACATTTATGTACACCGCTATTTAAGTCAGACTAATTCTTATGTCGCGCCATTGGCTGAACTATACTCTACTCTGCTTCCCTCTGCTGGCCGTCGAGTTATGTAGTCCGCATCGGGATTCGAGAAGATTCCGGTGAGCCACATAGCGGCATTCCAGAATCGTCGAGGTCACTTCGCGTCGATCTAGATGGCGAGTCACTGGCACGATCCTCAACAGATGTCGCCAAGCGGCATATGCGGTCGCGATCCGCGTAAAAACAGGGATCGGCCATGAAGCTCTGGCGAGTAGGAGAGTCTGGCGCGGTCCCGAACATATGGCGCCAACAGTACTATTCATTCTTGTTACGATATAATAATTTATAATTTTTAATAGATCGTAGATTCAAACCTTTTCATCACACGGAAATGGCACAGGTTTATCATGCTGAGCCACAAACATCACCTAACTGCCACCCATTACAGATCCATAGCGTATTGCCGGAAAGAAAATTTGAGACAAATCATCAGTTCTTTCAATTTATGTTGATATGTTTGCAGAGATTCTACCAAGGGACTACTGCGAATCTACCATTCACAAAAATCATGAAATTCAAACTTCGAACCCTCTTAGGACAAAAAAGCGCTGTTTAAATGGTAGAACATCAAATTGGCACGCATGAGGTTCGAGTTCCTTCGTAGGCCAAGGAATTTTGTTCTGATTCAAATTACAATTTGGAATGTTTTTTAGTACGAGTATTTCGTCCTTTTTCTAGAGAGAACAAGAAGAAATGAGGCTTATTGCTATAGTGTTCAAAGTAACAACCTCCAGCTTCGATCTAGAAAGCATGACTCCAATCTTTTCCTCGTGAAACATTAGGGTCATTTCTTAATGAGTTACATCCAACAATGATCATGTCAGATCTTTAACATTTTCCACGGGAGTAGTGCAAGCTAATAACTTCAGTTGACCTCATGGGAATAATCCAGGATGTCTAGGTCTGGGGACTGAGGAGATCGATGGTGATGCCTTTCTTGCCTTATCCAAGGATCTCACTATGTTTTTGTTAATAGGGAGTTATTGACATACTGTCATCCACTATTAGTACCGACCTTACACTAATAATGACAAGCAGAGACTGATTTTAAAATTATTTCAGAATTAGAGTCATTGGTACTGGTTGCATTTCTGTACATGGACGTGACAAAATTTCTAAACTTATCTTGTTTAAAAGTGTACCAAGACTGATTTAATTCCAATAATCTGATTAATTATACAGTTTTGTAATTGTTTTTATACTTATTTGTGTTTTGCAACTTGTTTTAGGTAAATATTAGTCTTTTTGGTTTGAATTTTATGGCCCTTAGGCCATGATTTTCACAAATTAAACTTACAATCAGCGAACAGTGCAAAATAATAGCGAGAAAACGGCAAAGAAAACTACTTTTCGTTTATAATTTCTTTTATATGCGAAAACTACTATAAAAAGTGACGTTTTGGCTTGGCTGTGCCACGATTTTAAGCGACCTGTAATAGTGGCAGGCACTAACTTTATGAATTAAAATTCTTATTTCTGTTTTACTACGCCTGCTCAGATGTCAAATACCGCCAGGAATTATGTTCCATCCTCGTCGAAGTAAATATCGTCGCTGGAAAGGGGCGTAAGTCGGAAAATGCTCATTTGGAGTTAGCACCACCAGAAATCTCTAAAAGTGGATATCTATAATATGACGAAGTGGCGTATCGCTCCTCCTTATAGTTGACGTAATGTGGCAAATCAGTATGTGGAAGGATCTCCTACTCTTGCTAGTGCTAAAAGGACAAACGGGCATATATAACGTCTCCTGTAAAACAGCTAAATTGGAGTTACGCCTCTTTGTCTTTCCAGCGACGATATATACGTATTCACATATCGTAGTACCCTCGTAGTAGTACCAAAGCGCCACGATTTCAAAGCGAGCACGCAGAGAAGGAAAGCGGCACCGCGGCCCCTTCCCCCTACCTTTCTCCCCTCTGGCCGCCTATAAACCTTCATTCCTTGTTCTCGTGCCCGACCGTCAAGACGTTAATCGGCGCACGTCGTTTACGTGCAGTGCAGTGCCGAGGATCCGCTGAACATTTAGAATTAGAAAACAGGACAGACGGTTGGCCGATAGATGTGCATTGTCGAGATACCGACCGACGGTCGCCTGAAGGTTCCTTACGTCGCGGACCGAAATAGAAAGTGGCGTGCAGGCCTCTTTTTCTGAAGGTGCGTCACCATCAGGTAACTGTCAACTTACCGATCTGTTTTAGGTGCAAGTTAAATGAATATTAGTATGGATGCCTCACCGGCGCTGCAAATTGTGCCTAACATGACGTTTGGGATCCCGTTCTCTTACTGTTGCTTGGGATAGCAACCTGCACCTAGCTTGTGATAGCCAACTCCATATCTAGGACGAACAAAGACGTTTGGGATAACGCTGAAACATTGGACCCGGTTGCTTGGGATAGCAACGTGGACCTGGCTTGGGGTAATCAGCTCCACACCAAGGATGATCGAAGACATTTGGGATAAAGTTGTAACATTGGACTCGGTTGCTTAGGATAGCAACATGGACCAGCTTGTGATAGTCCCCACCAAGGACGAATGAAGATGTTTGAAAAATGACTCAATACTGAACTTTGTTGCACAAATAACAACACTGAAAGCGTTTGGGACTACGTAGCAACAAGGTATGGTCAACAATATTTTCTCATTTGCTTGTGATAGCAAATTCCACGTGGTTTGTGACAACCGTGGAACAGGTGTGTAATTATGAACATGTCAGATTAGAAAACCGCCAATATATATCTTTTTCTTATCACCAGATGAAGAATAGGCACCTTATGCAAGGTTAGCGTTACATTTTG